TGTGTGTCTGTCTGTCTCTGTCTGTCTTTTTATCTCGGTGTTCGTCTATCTGTTTGTGCGTTTATCAATGTGTACGTCTGTCTATAAGTCCGTTTATCTGTCTGTTGGGCTATCTATCTATCCGTCTATCCGTTTTCCTATCTGTCTATCTATTGGTGCATCTGTCGATCGGTCTATCTCTCTGTCTGTCTGTCTATCTCTCTGTGGCTCTGCTTCACGTCTGTCTGGTTATGTCTGTCCATCTCTATCTATCTGTGCTTTTTTCTAATTACCGTATCTCCCTATATATCGTCAAACAGAGCTGCCCGGTATATATGTTACATAATATGTATACGTATAAAGAGATTTATATATCCTTATATATGTCCATACATGTTCAGCCTCCTGATGAGTCGGTGAAACTCCGACGAAACAGTTTGTCACAGCCCCTCGTTTGTTGTCCTCTTCTCTCTCTCTGCCTACGGTTTACCGGGCAGTTCTGTTTGTGACGATATATATATATATATTTGACGATATATATATAGATGAATGGGAGTTCAGCCTCCTGATGAGTAGGTAGGTGAAACTCCGACGAAACAGTTTGTCACAGCCCCTCCCTCGTTTGTTGTCCTCTTCTCCCTCCCTCCCTCCCTCCCTCCCTCCCTCCCTCCCTCTCTGCCCACTACGGTTTACCGTAGGCAGCTCTGTTTGACTATGTATATACATGGATATATAAATGGACGAGGATCTATGCTATTTTTCTCTGTATCGCGCCATTTTTGTTTATTTTTTTTTTGGTATCGCTCCAATTTTAAGGGCTGTGATTCCAGGGGCCCAAGTCCCACTTACGCTAATCCGTCATTTCTGCTCGTTTGATCTTCTTCGAGATCTACTGTCAGTAACCGAGAATTCGGGTAAGTGGGACTTAGCCGCCGAAGCCCAAAAAAAAGAGTAGGGGAGTAGGGATTTGTGTTTGCTTGCCCTCCCTTCCCCTACCGATCGTAAGTTCACATGGCAGGAGATTTCAAGGGAATAAAGCGGGGGGGGGTGGGGGGGGGKGCAAGGGGGACCCATTCCCACGGATTATTAAGAGATAACGGCCGTTGATGACAAAGGCAACGGCCGATAGCTATAGATCCGTAAGTGTGAGACTCTGAGGAGCTTGCACTAAGCGCCTGAATCTGGACGTGTTTCGTGCAGAGATGCGGAAAAGCAGAGGAGCTTGCACTAAGCACCTGAATCTGGATGTGTTTCGTGTAGAGATCCGGAAAAGCAGCTCAATCCGGATTTACTGAACCTGTCCGCAAACACGTCCAGCTTCAGCCGTTCAATCCAATCCTGTTTGCTAGTGGGACCTCCCCCACGGGGAGGCAAGGTCCCATGTGCACGGATGTAAGGAATACCGACCATACATAGGTAACGGGATCATAAGGAAGATCAAATGCCATTATCTCTACATCTGCAGTGTGCAGAATAAGGAAATATTGGCCGTAGATCTCGAAGATCAACTGCCATTATCTCTCTTGATCTGTGCAAATGGGAGATTATGGGACAGCAAAGTAAGAAGTTCCCTGCCTGGTATTTCTTTTGGAACTATTCCTTCTGGCAGATCAAAGAATTTGATCTGACCTCGCCCCAGACGAGGAGGAGGAGGAGGAGGAGGAGGAGGAGTTTTGATCAGCGAAATCTGATCGCGCAGAAATGATCTATTGAAGGAGGAGCTCACCTGAAAAGGAGTTTGCCGTAAAGCAGTTGCTTGTGTAAGCCCATTCCGGCGTGCGAAATGTTTTTTTTTATTATTATTATTTTTTTTATAAGAAAGGCGATGGCCTTGAGATGTCATCATCACCGCCGATTAGGGCGAGGGGGGCAAGGGGAAACAATCGTCTCCTTAATTGTGAGAGGTAGCCATGCTTGCAGGGGTCCCCTGTATAGGCCTACTACTGTCGGTGTAGTGGTAGGCAGATAGTGAAAGGTGAAATCGAAAGAATAATATAGCTTAGTTTAAGTTAGTTATGAAAAAAAAAAAAAAAAAGATGTCATCATCGGCCCTAGGTAATTCAGAATAATTGTAGTGTGTTTTACTACTCTGTTTCCAGAGGAGTTCGAACTCAGGTCTGTATTTCATCAGTTCAGCTCTCTACCCACTGAGGTTGGCCAGTTGGTAAATGGGGCAAAACTCGGTCAGATAGGTTCCCGCTTTTCTTTCTTCTTTTTTCTTCTTTCCTTTTTTTTTTTTTTCCCCTTCTTTCTTCTTTCTTGTTCTTGTTCTTCTTTTTCTCTGCTTAAAAAAAAAAAAAAGGAAAACGACGACGGCCTTGAGATATCATCGCTGAACTGACTGGCCCCAGGGAGTAGGTAATTCAGAATGATTTTATTTTTTCTGGTCATCTGGTGTTTACCTTATCTAGATTCGAACTCTGGGTACATTTCAGCAGATTATGGG